AACGAAATTGTACCGTAAAACATAACAAAGAGGTAGTAACTATTAGTCTTAATCATAGTTAGTAACTAATGTCTTTATTAAAGGACTGCGCAACATTTATCAGGAGCGGGGAGGGGAGTCTAGAATCCAGAGATTGGGGTAACATCTAATTTTATGTGCTAAAAGAGGGGGGGCAAGGTCTAAAATTGACTAGAACTTTAATTGGAAACTGAAAAATCAAGGGTGTCAGATCACAAAAACTACTCAAGAAAATACTATATTTCACGAATAATAAATAAAAAAAATCACGGAGGGAGCGTAATTTAGTTCGTTTGCAAGGATGGTAGTAATTAACTTTTTTGATTTTTTGGCTCATTACTCAACCACCCGTCGTTGTTGCAGAAAGTCGTCAAAAAAAATAGTACCGTGTCAATAAACAATTCGAATTTTGAACAGTACATTAATTAAATTGAAAGTAACGCATTCTTGCTTTCACTATGTATTAGAATTGAAAAATATACATTCTACGCCATAATTAACATTCATATATAATCATAAGATAGCCATATTACATCATAATCTTATCGTGTTTAAAAGCTTTCACCCATTTAATATCCTGTCTTTCTCAATTTTCAAAAATAGCTATCCCGACTTCACGCTCTAAGAGCGTCTAGTTATCTATTGCGTCAAGATTCTCATCCCCTCTGATAATTATTGCACAGTCCCTTCAGCATTCTGCGTTTAAAAAATCCAAGGACGCCCAGGCTCAACAGGCAACAGTTGTGTTTTCACGGCGGTGTCAATGCAGCCCGCGGTACAAGTCTATTTTTATTTACGAGGGGGAAAAAATATAAAAATGGCTTAATAGAAATCAGTTTATACTTATTAAAGAAAAAAGAAAAAGAGAGAAAGTCTTGAAAAGTCTCAAGAAATGATGTAGAAAAAAATTTACGGCTTCATGAGGGCTCGAACAGTGAGCTACGCATTACACTGGTTCCAGAGGTTTCATATGATATTTTCTCTCTGCGTTATTGTTTTTGTTGGCGCGAAGCGCTGTAATTATCGAGGCCGTAAGGCCGAGGGAAAATCTATTTTCGCGCCAACAAAAACAATAGCGAAGAGAGAAAATATCAAACCTCTGGAATCAGGGTAGCTACGCATTGGCAACGCCGTGAAAGCAACACAACTGTTGAGCATAGGCACCCTGTGAAAAATCGAACAAAATAAAGAACTAATAAGAACTGTGTTACCAAACGTATGTATATGTTGGCATAGTACATAGTCATAGCCATAGCTCCCTTTGGTCGCACAATCGGCTGTTGATTGACCACAAATTGGCTTCCACTGTGACGACTGTTATACGATATTCGGCACACCCTGAAGCCTGGGCAAGTGCAAACGTTGCACTGGCGTTGTATTTTGTTTTCACATAGCAAAATCAACGCTAGCCAATGTAGAGCAAACGCAAAAAAGGAAAAAATTTGATATCTTGCGCTTGCTTTATCATTTCGTCGACAGTTTTCATCATAAAATAACAACTCTTCAGATGGCGTTTGCTCTTGCGTGAGTCGTGAAAATCAGGCTTAGTATGTCACAGTATCAGGAAATCTGACAGCAACCAATGTTAACTTTTTTTTTTAAAGTTAAAACTTACTGCTATCGCCTTAGCCTGAACAAGGCCAACGCATATGGAACTTATGGGGGACAAATAGTCCGTGATCACTCAAGCTTGACCTGACAGTCCGTATGAAGTGCCAAATTTGACGAAAAAAGGCCAGATTTCAAGGCTTTTTGAAGAAATGCGGCGACATTAAAAACAATCGTAAAAACCTAGCACCGGATTTAAGAAATAAAATCTATATGCGACCTTTCTGGGTATTTTTCATGAGAAAATTCGAAAATCCAATCACGTATTTTTGCCCTTGAAGAGTTGAAGTTGAGCATTAAAATAGTATGGCGATCCATGTTTTCACCACAGTTCGCTCCAAAAAACTGGGCCTCGCGTATAACTTATTTTGTTAATAAAAAACCTAGCACCGGATTTAAGAAATAAAATGTATGTGTGACATTGCTGTGTATTTTTCGTGAGAAAATTTAAAAATCAAATTACGTATTTTCGCCTTTGAAGAGTTGGCGTTGCTTCGCATCCGTTTGCGTTTCGGGATTCCTGTCCCGACGATGAACGGATGCAAAGGAGACTACTTCTGTAGGCACAAGCAACAAAAATCAAACTTGAATTTTTCAAATTATTGCTTTCTTATTATATGTTGAAAATGTACTCAAAACTATGCAGTTTTGTGTTAATTCAATATTTGAAAAATTTATATCAGTCAGTGAACGTAACTGTGATATTATATGTACATGTACTTTCCTTTCTAGAGGTGACTTTGCTATTAATAGTATTTAATGGTCAGATGATGATGTTAATGAGGTCGATCGACGACAAAATATTAATTAACTCCATTGTATTATATTTCATGAAGTAAATAAATAAATTACATGCATATATACATGCATGCATGGATGCATGAGTGAGCCTGGACAATAATCCAAGCAAATGTCACCCGATGTATGGCAATAAGTTCCATATG